TGATCGGAACCGAATGTGACAGAACTTTTATTACGAGAATTGGCCTTCAAGTGACGCGTCTATTCATTTGCCCCCTTATACCATAAAAAAATAACTTTCTCTATGGGCGTTTCGGTGGTTAAAGTGTTCGGTTTGTACTATTCTTATTTTTACTGGACAATGATCATTTATGGTATAAAAATTACTTAAAAAGTACGAATACGGACCCAATACGTGTAAGTAGACAAACACCCTTAGTGACTGGCCCCAGCAGTAATACCCACATTGTCCTATGTGGCCCTTGGCTAAAAAGGTGTTTAGACCACAGGCCTATATGGTCTGATGTCAAGCCAACTTGCCCAAAGACTTGATAAATATAGTTATCAATGCAGTCAAGAGCTAAACGAAGATTATTCTTTTCAATTGGTTACTTACAGCGATACGGTTTTAAAAACATTATTGTTAAATTTTACGATGTTAAAGTAATATCATGACACGGTAAAAGCATTGTCGAATTGGCACATTATGAGCTAATTAACAGACTGTTGTTCAATTCTTCATTACTGCTTATTTTGAAGTAATAATAACATGGTTAGAAGGCTTAGGCTGTTGCCGTGAGGCGGGGGGCGACATGGTTCGGGACAGGACCTCTGAGGTCGGCCGTGAGGTGATTTTTAGTGGAAGCATACTGCTGGTCGTTGCGTCCACCAAGGAGTGGTAGATACGAAGAGACTTACCCCCGACTCCCCTCTTTACCTGTCAGTGGGGACCCCTTTAACGACAAGAAAAAAGTATACGACCCTGATCTGGTCAAGCTTTTGCTTATATTTTTTTAATCCATCCATAGGAGCAATCCAAAACAACTCCATCCTAAATTTGCTTTTCCCTCTCATCTACGAGTACTTACTGTTTTTTTCCATACAAAGAATAAAATGAAAAAATAACGTTGAGGGTAACTTTATTTATTTATTCATTTTACGGTTTGTGCACACATGAAAATTGCACTGGTTAGTCTTGATTAATTAACAAAATCTGCGATATTTCATTAGAATTGTGTTACATTCTTAATTCTTTATTGTTCTGATATAAAGCTGACATAGACCAGTATTACTTATTGTGCATAGGGCTTGGCACCGACTTCAAACAGACTAGAAGGACTTTTAGGGCTGCAACTACCCGTAACGATGGCAAACAGGACCGACGGGCTTGATGTGCTTTTCGAGGCAGGGAGGGGTCTCACTGTGTTGAAAATGGTCCCCCATCCATCCATAGACTGACCTGGCTAGGCTTGCTTAACTTTGCTTGCTACTTGTTACTTAGCCACGAGATCCTTGAAAATACATACACTTGAAAGACATAACTCTCCTTTTGGCACTGTCGGTTAAAAAGAGTTCCATAATCCACCTAAGTGGACTAAGTGGAAGCCCCACTTAGTGAACTCGTCAAAACAAATCATAATTTATTATTATGAGTCTAAACTCCAGGTGGTTACTAGTAGTCACTAAAAGTTTCAGTATTCTCATGCTGGTAATCATTAAAAGAGCTCAAATATTCCAAATTACAATCATCATCACCATCAACAGCCTCTAACAGTCTACTGTTCGACATAGCTTAAATTTCATGTAAATATATTACAAAGTTTTATTTCGATCAAACAATTAGAAATAGGTTAAATTACCTTCTAAGATTGGTTTACATGGTTATTTTGTGTTAGCGAGTGTTAAGTGACGACAATACTGCAATTTGGCATCTTGAAGTTGATCTGATGGTACAAGGAGGCTTATGATTCGTAACTAATTAACGGATCCAAGAAAAAAGTATTAATATCGCTGGTCTGATAATAAAAGTGGTGAATAGTAGAACTTATTTTTTACTATTTTCTTCGTTCGTTCGTAAATTGCTTTTAGTTTTTTTTTATATAATTTATTTATTTTGCTTCTGTGGCGAATTACGTTTATTTTCAATTGTTCATAGATTACAAGCTCAGTAACATTTTTTATTTTTAATATTATATCAACTCAGGTATACTTTATACCAGCGTATACCTTTACAATACATAATGGTATGAGTACTTTAAAATTAGCATTAGGTTCTCTTGTCTCTGTCTTTAGGATTTTCTTCTTTTTCTTCTTGTTTATCCAGCTCTAAGGAGAAAGGTTCCTAAGGTTTTTTTTCTAAGGAGAGACATGATGTCCAGCAGTGGACTATTAAAGGCTCTTAACGGTGATGATCCAGCTCTATAATATTATTACTATATTTAAACATGTTTATACGCTATCATATAGGTATTACTACAAAAATATGAATTGTAGCTTTTAATAAAAGCTTTAAATAAAGGTTTGAAAAATAACTCAAACGAAATCGATTTTATACTTATTGTAAAATAGCGCGGAGTGCTTTTTAAAATATTTTTGATACCAAATACATACATTCACGTAACCTCTAAGGAATAGGCAGAACCCCCTATATATTGCCCAATATTGACTAAGCCCATTGCCATGTACCATCCGGTTAACGGCAACAATCTTGAGTTTAGGAATTAGGTTCGTTAATTCTTCCTTTCTTTTCAAGATACTCCCAGTCTTGAAAAGAAAGGAAGATAAGAAGAGAAGGTGATGATAAAGGGTATTTGCTTTTAGGGATTTATTAAATAGCTTGAAAACGTGTCCTTCTCGTCAATTCTGCTTTTTTATTGCTGTATCAATAGACTGTCGATAAAATGTCGTCGGAATAGTTTTGCACTTTTCGTATTCTATTACTATGTAAGATCAATGGCCAATCAATCGTTGACTTGTCTCTGAACTTGATACAAATGTCGTCGTAATAGTAATGTCTTTGTAATAGTTTGATAAACGGTATGTTTTAAATTTGTAAGAAAATGATTTATTTAATTTTCCAGATATAGCAATGTTGTGGATATCACCATTGTTGTAGTAGCAATCGACAGTCTATTGACACTTTGAATTTATGTTAGTAGAATATTTTGATATATTGACCGATGTCAATGGCATCTCAACACCGTGTCGATGTACCTTAACATAGAAAAGCTGAAATCAGGCCCTGGAACTTGAACTGAATTTAATTTAATAAACATAAAAAATATAAATAGCTACCACTTAATTAATTCAACATTTGATGTATAACACCCCCCGTTATTTTACAACATAAACTCAAGTTTAAAGTTGTTAATGAAACGGATTTTTTAGTTTGAGAAGTTAAATGATTTTCTAATTTTTATTCTTTTTGTCATCGGCAATTGATTGATGTGTGCCAATTTTTAACCAACATCAAAAAGGAGGAGGTTAGCAATTCGGATGTTTATATTTTTTTATGTACGTTCGAGCATACCTTTGTCATATATAGGACGAATTTAAAAAAAAATCTATTCAAAAGGCGTTTATCCGAAATGGTCCCATTTGAATTTCATATAGATCTGATGATGACTTTCGGAGACAGACAACAGAACTCTTCAAAAAAATTACAGCAAATCAACCGCGATTGCTGCTAGGTTTTTAGTGATCTTTGTTAGTTGTATTATACAAATAAGTACCTACATGCTATTGTTTGAAGTCGGTTCAATTTTTTTTTTTAAGGATTTTATCTTATTGACTTATCAACTCTAAAGTTTGTGACAACTATGTTATTGAAGTCGATAGATACTTAATACGTAATCAAGTCTGGCCAGTGTAGAAAAACCTCCTTTCTAAGGAGAGGCCTATGTCCAGCAGTGGACTATTAAAGGCTGTTGATGATGATGATGACGTAATAATTTATTGCATTCCATAATGTCCATAAATTTGCTTGAAAATACAAAATACATAATACAGAACCCTTATGGACCGTGTCGGGCATAGCAAAAGGTTAATAACTTTAAATAAGTACAAGTATAAGATGGACAAGTAAATCTATAAAATATCTTGTAAAATAGCCATATCTTCGATATTGGTATATTTTCTCCATTTCTAGGAAACTTGAGTTCATTTGAAATCTTTTGTTTTCGCTTCGTGTCCGGCCGATGTCAGGTGTTATGTAAACAAACTCGTATTTTTACCGATCGACGGTGAATTTTCTTTTATTATTTATAATTGTAACGGACATACAATATCCGCTCGATAGCTGATACCTACATTTATTTGGGTGACTGTGAACATTGAGAAGGTAGCGTCGGAAACTAGGTGATGGTTGACGTGTTATAATTTGCCCTTATTTTAAGTAAAACTTGATTAAATTATTGACAAATTATGCAGCAGCCATATTTTGTTTTTTTTTAAACGATAATTCAAACAGTGTTGCCTTTGATTCGGCCTAGTTTAATAAAAAAAATGAGAATATTGTGTACGAGTTGTGTTTTTAACTATAAGGATAAATAGTGATATGGATCATTTAATAGAAAAAAAGGTAAAGCATCGTGTTTAACTCCAAAGTAATCAATTAATGATTAGTTTAAATATCCATGGTCCGTAGTAAGTTGATAAAGAGACGATCTTTTTTAATACTTTCTTTGGATGACACAATTTTAAATGAACTTATCGACTAATCTCTGGTGTGACTGTATTTTATCTATTAAATACCACTACAATAAATAACATTTATTATTATGTATATAATCTATAATACGCGCGTAAAGTTGCTTCTTATAACACCAGGTATCTGCCAGTGAAAGTGCCGTGGAAATCGGTGTACCTTTTTCAGAGATGAGCTAGACACACACACAGAAACACACAAAGAAATGAATTTAAGGTGGTTATTAAATTAATTTGTCAATACTCGGGTAGCTTGAAAGTCGAGCTGCTATTTAACATGGTTTTTCGCATTTTATTACTCGTTAGCTTATTATTATACACCCTTAATTTATATTCCATAATTACATCTTTAACAATTGCGTCTAAGTTTATCTTATAAGCATGAAATTTTTTATATTGAGCTATTTATAAACCTTCAGGATTATTAACCAATAAATATTGTTTCAGTTCATATAAAATCATAAACTACTAGAAGTTACTGTGATGAAATCCACAAATATGGAGTCGTGTTCCGACCGCCTGAGTCCATCAAGTGACATGACAAGCGAATCGGAGACATCACTCCCGCCTTTTCCATATGACAACCAAAATGGAAACTTTTATCAAGCGGAATTGAATGAAAAGCAGTATTTCTCTTGCAAACAGAAAACAAGAAATGAAGAAAAGAACTCAAAAGAAGTATATTTACAAGAAAGTAACAAAATGGCGTTTGACAGCTATTTATCGCCACAGAGAAACAAAAAATATTTGAATTTCGAATTGAAATTGCCGCCAACTAACGAAAATATATTTTCGCAAATCGAAGGCGAAGATCGAATGCGTTCAGGTTATTTCAATGAGGTCCAAGATTTGAAAAGTTGCGTTCAAAATGAAAATAACCCTAATTTATCTGACATGAAGTTAAATCATCAGGTTTTCGATAATGCTAATATAAATAATGAAAGGGAGAGAGTTCCTCAAACATATTTTGCTGAGAATGAAAACAGTAATATGCGTAGATGTATAAATTTCAATTCGGAACAAGTGCAGTGTGTTTGCGAAGCGTTGCAGCAGAAGGGGGATATTGAGAAGTTAGCAGCATTCTTGTGGAGTTTACCTCCTAGTGAACTACTCAGAGGACATGAAACAATACTCAGGTACCTATCTATTATATTTTAATACATTTTAAATTATAATCTACTGTACTGATGATAAACTGATACTTACTGTTTTTGGTTTTTGGTTTTTGCTTGTTTTTGTTTTTTACTGGCTATGTTACCTGATATTGTACGGGTGATGATGGGTTTTAATTGCTTGTAGGATGAAAGCTTGTAAAAATCTTGTTTGCCTTACTTAATACACGAAACGAAATGGTTCCTACACTCTACATGTGTAGCTACGACAATAAGATATACAAAATTAATTGTGGTTAGTCGGAGGTCGTGGGTTCGATTCCTACCCAGGACAAATATTGTGTGATGGGCACGGTCATTTGTTCTGTGTCTGGTTGTAATTTATCTATAATATGTATGTATTTAAAAATATATAAGTATGTTTATCAGCAGTCTAGTTACCATAGTACAGGCTCTGCCTAGTTTGGGATCAGATGGTCGTGTGTGAGATGTGTGATATATTATCTGAGTTTATGTTAACTTGAGGGTATCGCGAAATCGGTGTTACGCTTTTAGAATTAAACTAGTTGAAGAAAAAAAAAAATCAAAATAAACTAATGAATTCTTAAAAGACACAAAGAGCGCTATATAACTATATATTAATACTAGATAAACACGACTGTAGAATTAAAAACAAAAACAAAAAGCTGTTAGAAAATTATGTACATATTTTTAGGTCTTTCGTTCCTATTCAAAAAGTTTGTTAAACAAATTTCAAAAATAAAACTCATAAAAAAACAGTAACGTTTTGTTTACCACCACAATAAGAAGCGTTAATAACGCTCATATTATAGTTGAGTGCGTTTATAACGCTCTTCTTATAATTCAAGTGACAAATCGTGTTATAATATCGCACATCACTCAGCGCCATGATACAAAACTGAAGTCTAGGTAAATATAACTTTGTTTTCCCACTCCCAGGGCTCGAGCATTGGTGGCGTATCACCGTGGTGTGTACCAGGAGTTATATGCAATACTAGAAGCACATTCCTTTCCTCCACGACACCACAACGCGTTGCAGAATCTCTGGTACAAGGCGCATTATAAAGAAGCTGAGAAAGTACGAGGGAGAGCTTTAGGTAAGATTTTAGTTTTTATTGAAAATTGGTCAATCCCCGCTATTTTATATGCGATTGAGGTCTTTTTTGTAAGAAGTATGAGATAAGAAATTATATGATATTATTAATTATAAGCATTAGATTTCGCATACAGGTTGCCAGGAGTTCAGGAAATGACATAGTATACCTTTCATCCAGAAAAATAGACTGTTCAAGAGAAGAGCCACGGACAAAAGCCAGTAGATAGTTAATTTTAGTTTAGGCTATCAATTCCTCTTGATGAGTTTTTTTTGGCATAGCTATCATTGTCTGGTGGTTAATACTGATGATCGAGATTAAAGAGTTCCGGTTTTCTGGCAAGGGGAAAGGAAGGAAAGGTCAGAGTAGCAAACCTGTAATTTGACCTGCTGGACCTAATTTCCTCTTTCCTTTTAAGCTCTATTCATTTTCTTTCAATTGGGTCTTGCTTTTCCAAACTTTAATTGTCAATGCATCCACATGGTTTACGGTAAATAAGTTTATTACGTATAGTTGGCAAAATATGAGTATTTATTATGCCTTTACCCAGCTATTCAGAAATATCAGAGCATCTGTGTATGTATGTTGATAGTGTGATAAACTGGCGGTAATATATAATAAAGCTCTACATTTCTAGGTGCCGTAGACAAATATAGACTTAGGAAAAAATATCCACTGCCGAAAACTATATGGGACGGTGAAGAAACTGTGTACTGCTTCAAAGAGAAAAGCAGGAACGCGTTAAAAGACTGCTATTATAGAAATAGGTAAGGCTTTGTAAGACTTTATTCAGCTAGTTACTAAGAAAGCACACAATTTGCCTAATTTAAAGAGGTATTTATGTACCGTAATAAAGGGAGGGGGGGAGGGGAGGTTAATTATAACTGTACCTATAGATAAGTGGTGATAGAACAAGCTCAAACATGTTTTTGCATTTATGTGATCCATGTGCTTTATTCCTTAGCCATTACACAACCACCAAGAGACTGTAAGAATTACACTTTTGGTTAGCGGAGTTTTGTTTAACTAATTAAAAAAATGAACTCCGAGATCGCATACTGCGATAAGGGAAGACTGCCCATTGTATCCCTGTATTAGTTTGTATTCTACATTAAATGTTTTTTCATTATGGTGTCCAATAAAAAGTACCTATCTATCTATCTCCTAGGTACCCAACTCCGGACGAAAAGCGGGCCCTAGCACAGAAAACGGGGCTGACTCTGACGCAAGTCTCCAATTGGTTCAAGAACCGGCGACAACGAGACCGTACTCCACAGCAACCGAATAGGCCGTGAGTTTGTAATAATAACTTCACACATCTCACACACCGCCGTCTGATCCCAAACTAGGCATGCCAGTGCTATAGTAACCAGACTGCTGATGAGCAAACTATTTCTGAATACATGCGTTTTACATAAATATTTGTCCTGTTTGGGTATCGAGCTTAGTAGTCAGGATCCACTAACCACTAGACAAACAGATCTGTAGAGTTGTATATGTTCGTTTTCATCTTTCAACATTGTTTTTTGTAGGACGGACAATAGTTTGCGGTTTTAATAGCAGTATATAGTAACTCAATCGGTGCAGAACTTTTTGACTTTTTGAAGCGTACACAAACGAACTTAACATTTTTATACATAGATAGAAGAAAATCGACATTTATGTGAGCGGAGCTGAGTGTAAAAGCTAAGACTTATAATTGAGAGCCTGAGTGTGTCCACACTTTATTGCTATAGCATATACAAGCCAAGGTATATAAAGCTAAACAATTTATTGTTTCGCACAACGACGCCATTGTTTTGGGCACGGCGAAGTTCGAATGTTCGTCTCAAGGACTTTTTTAACATTATTACTTCGTAGGGTAACTGTTATTTAGGTTTAAACTAGGAAAAAAATCTGGTTTTTAGTTTATATATAAATACATCTTAAGTTGGTTTCTGTACGCTTTAAAAATTTAAAAACAATCTGCACCGATTGAGCTCAATTTTGACACGATATAAAAACCACTTCAGAGATTGTTTTCATGTACTTTTCGCGTTAGTTTTGTTTCTCATTTCTTGCCAATAAAACCACAATGTGATACAGCTAGTTTTAAATATTTTTTGAAGTGATAACTTCTTTAGGCGAGTTGGGAATTTTTGAACAGCGAACAAAAAAAATTTTTTTTTGAGATCGGAAAAAACCATTGAACTCTTTGACACCTCTGTGTATAAGGATCTACATATATTGGCCCCGTTTAAACGAGAGTTGAGTTTGGTTTGAAATACATTGATAATATAACTATATATATATTATAAATAATGGTTTATATACGTACAACATAGATATATACTCGTATTCATGTCGGAACTTTTCGAATCGAAGAAAACAAAAATTTAAATTTTGTGAAGTGCCACTGTTTTTTTAAATTATTTTCTTTACTCTTATAACTCATTATGATTATGTTCATTATTTTTGAGAAATTTGTGGTTGTTTACTTACTTTACATTACTGAAAATTTTACTTACATAATATGTCTAATTCCTTTTCATTAGGTATAATAAAATATAGTTTCAAATATGTCCAGAAAAATTATAAAACTAGTTAGGCCTGTTTTTGTGTTTACCTGGCAATTTGGGAAATCAAAATGCGAAAGTTTGAAGTATTTTGAAAGGAAAAAATAGGTAGAAGGAAAGGCTACAGGAGAAAGTGATATTTTTTATACTTATGTATTGATGAGTGCAAGTAGTAGATCAAACAATACGCATAGCTGTAAACCAAAAAAAAATGTAAACTTTATTTTTTTAACCGAGTGATATAAGAGACTGAAAAAGGTCTTAAGTGATACAAGAGTTCAAATGAAACGAAACCCGTTTGGCCTTTGAAATAAAGTACTTTTTTAGTTTTAAAATAATAATACTTCATCGATTCAACTCATATTGATTCTTTATAATATCACACGCAACACAAAATCTCGATGTAGTGGTGAGATTCCGGAATGTTTCATCGCATGGTTACCCTTTTAGGCGCAAAAGAGTCTGTGCTTGCCGTTCTAATTTATTATTATTTTATCAGCAGCCACACTTTTAAACAAAATTAAATAATATATGGCGTCAACATTAGAGCAGGAATCTGAAACATTGTAAACAAGTATTTTTTTTTTTTACTGTCTCGATAGACAAGTCAATTTAGGTTTGTTTTCGTGAAGTTTTATGTTTTAAAGTTCCCTAGATTCGTTCTAGGTGATAACACTTTCAAACAAAATTAAATATGGCGTCAAAATTAGAGCAGGAATCTGAAACATTGCTAAAAAGTTTTTTTTTTTACTGTATCGATATACAAGTCATTTTAGGTTTGTTTTCGTGAAGTTTTAGGTTCTAAAATTCTCTAGATTCGTTGTAGGTAATAAATTCTTATAAGGTTTTTTGTTTTGCAAATTTTAATTAGTTTTAATACATTCGCTTCCCATTACATTGGATTAAAATTTGGTGTGCAATTCATTGAGTTAAACAACAACAGATCAATGGTGCGATATGTGACTTTTCTATTATAATATATAACCACAGTCTTGTATACCTATTTTATCATTTATAACATACAGCCATAAGTAAAACCTAGATGTAGTTGAAAAAGAGATAAGTAAAGGGAGTCACTTAAGCAAGAATTAAGATAAATAAATTATATTTTAAAATAACACTCCTTTGTAACTAGCCGAACTGCATGGCATGAACTTTAAAAAATGCATGGGGTGCTAGATATCACTTGATGTTCAAATATTTTATTAACATATGTTGGTAAAATTAAAGTTATTTCATTATAAATTATATTGAAAAGCACCCCACGATTTTTGGACAATAAAATTGTTTTCCTTTTTGAACTTTTAGAAAATTATTTTCTACTTTTTAGTTCGGCTTGTTACAAAAGCGTGTTTTTTTAGTTTATTTTTAAACTATAATTTATTTTTGATTTTTTAGTCATTAGTGATGATCTTTTTTTAATTTAAAACTAAAAAGAAACAAGTAAGTAAGTCACATATGCTTCAGCTCACGCCTCTTAGTACGTAGCAAAAGACACTACCGTATTTTAAGTAGTAGGAAAAAGCCGTAAATCCTAGAGATCCTGATCAGGATAATCGGCCAAATTATCAAATTATTGTATTGTCATCAATCCTTGAAATGTGTGCGGCATTTCAATTTTATTCGACGTTTTGAAGTGAGTCAAAATCACGTTCGAAGATTCCGTTACACAAATACATACATACTTGTACCAAGCTAATAAAAGCGTGCTAAAAACGTTTAAACTTTATAAAAATCAACTCTTATAGTAGTTTAATTATTTTACTATTATTCACAGATAGTTTTTTGTGTTTCGCACTATGATTTTCATAGCGATATTACACACCTTCAACTATGGAGTGTATAGGCAAGGAGTACCATCTTATATGGGGGGAAAGTTGAAAAAGTGTCCAGCTGTATACTGAAAATAGCGGACGTACGACAAACTACGATATGAACATAGCTGTTGTAGATGTAATGAAGTTTGCTATGTTAAAATATTATAATATTTTTATTTTCTGAAAGTTATTACACGTTTATTTATTGTCTGTAAAACTCATTGACTATTTTCTCAGTCTAGTACACAGTGTCTTATTATTATTTAAGCCAATATAAATTTATCCTAGGCTACCGCAGCGCCACCCTTATTTTCTTTTTTTCGCGCGTTTTAACGGACACTTTTTATACACAGAGGTGGTTCTCCTTCCTCTACTCTCCATAACTCAAACTAAGCATACTTTAAACAGGTACTATTTTATTATATGCGCTTTTAACTATTGGTTAGTACACTTATTTGGATTTGATCTATCCAAAAGTTGCCTGAAAGATATTGCTTATAAAGCTGCACTTGTACATTAGCTGTTGACACAATTTTATTATGATTTGTATGATACTCTCACTGTGACAGGGGTATATAAATAAAGAGTTATCTACGTACTGTTTGTAAAAATATGCGTGCTAAGCTGAATGCGGCTTTAAATGAATTCATCTAAGATTCTAGACTCTATTTGTGTCTATGCATTCTGATAAAAAAATATACAAATGTGGTAGCAACCACATGGTTCGAAGTTTATTGTAATAGTGTTTTTTTTCATACTTAGAATGCATTGTCATAAACCCTCATTATGGGTCATTAATCAAAGACAAAGGTCAGTTCATAAAAACTAGCCACATGTGCAACTACTGGCCGGTTCACAGTCTATTTCTGCAAAAAAAGATTTTTTAATGTCGATTTTTGAACAAAAACTTAGATTTTTTCTTCTTCTAACTTGTCCATGGTTTTTTATAGATAAGGAAACACGCAAGCGGTTTACTTCGTTACAAAAACTTATTTTAGCCGATTAATACTTGGAAATGAAAAAGATGCTGTAACAAAGTACTATGGCGCCTATGTGTCTTTAAAATAATCCCTTACTATTTTAACTAATAGCCTATCCGTTATAGGAAAAAAAGGAATAAGGAGGAGATAACCAAAGTAGGTCATTAAATTGTTAGAGTGAAAGTAAAATTTATTTATAAAGTTAAATACAGAGTAAAAAAATTATAAAGATTTAGTTTCTATAGGCTCATTTCAGTATTAATATTTAGCAACCTGACACCTTGATGCTCACTCTATAAGTAGGTACATAAACCACGGTGCGGAATTAACGCAATGCCCGATACCGTCATGTAATGTTAAACAATTAACTTTTATGAAAAAACTATAATTAGTTTTATTTTGTTGTTCAAGGGAGATGCTAGTTCCAGCACAGTATGCGGGCCCACAAGGGGGTTTGGCACAGGCTTTACTGCCAAATGCCTATTATCATCAGCTGCAGGACCCCACACACTACCTACATAGTGGTGCGCCGTAAAATTAATTGATTGTTTGTGTTAAATCAAGTGAAAAAATATATTTTAGTTTCTAAATAAGACAATTATTGTTAAAGTGTTATTTATATTCGTAAATAAATTAAGATAGGTAATTAAGAAGTAAAGTGTACCTATTGAGTTGTTGGTTATCCAATGAGGAATCAGTAAAACGAAGTTTTAAATATACGGACTTTTGCCATAGTAAATTAATAAGGTATTTTTTTTTGTTTATAGTGCTAGGGTTGTGCCGATGACGAAACCTAACTAAGGTGGCTTTGAACTACTTTTCTCTGTTAATTTTAACAGGGTGCTCAATTTGGTTACTTATTATACTGCATTGAAAACTTGTTATTTGGAAAAGTATTGTAAATAATAAATATAAGGATCGCGGTGTAAGTCATTAATACGTTGCAGTTTAAAATTGAATTAGATTCAGGTTTTTAAACAAAAATGTTCATTTTGACACATCTTCTAAAACTTGATTTTTAGCACACTCTTTTAGTCAAAATAGAATTTTGTTGGATTTTCTTTTCTGGGAGCCATTTTCTGATATTTATCTTATTTAAACAATTTAAAACTAAATTGATGTGTATAAAAGTATTATTTAGTTTATTTGGACTGTATAGTAACACTTTGTAAAATTGGACTATGTTTTATGTATGAACTGTAAGTAATTATTTCAAATATGTAAACTAAATAGTTCCTTGTATGCCAATCTTGTACTTAATTTAGAATAATTTGCTGTTTTGTTTTAAATACATATTTTTATTCAGTAATAGACTGACTGCATAAGTATGTCATTAAAAATCTTTTTTTTTTTATAGGAGATCAAAAACAAAACCGTCCTGCTAAAAGACATGTGTCTGTCAGGTTTAAACAATAAGAAATACCCTAAAACGAAGTATTCTTCTTTCGGCACCAATTTTTCAGCATCTAAGCTATTCTACTTACACCACCAATAAGCTTATTTTCTTGGTGCTCAATGTGGACCAAAAAAGAATTTGTTCCTCATTTAGCACCTACGGCAGTCTCTAGTGATGGGATGTATTTTTTTGTACAAGGTTCTCGAATAAAACTTGTCGATAAAATTCTGTAATCAATACTTATTATACACTAGCTGGTACCAGCGACTTTGTTCGAATTTCAATTGCTCTGCGTTAGTGGTGTAGTACGGTATGCAACTACAGTCCATGAGGCCTCGGGTTCGATGTCCAGATTTTATTTATTTGTATAGATTATACATTCCAGGATTATGTGCTGAATGATTAATAAAATTGTTTTTTTTTTTCCATATTCCAAGCTAATAAACCCTTTGTTGTTGTAAGTGGAATAGCTTAGGTTCTGCAACCATAGGTACTGAAAAAATTGTTGCCAGGTGATAACAAACCTATTATTAATAGACCTTTTTATAATTTCATAAAGATTTCATTTTTAGTCGAGTTCTCAAGCGTAACTAACCTGTTTTGTGCTAGGTATTTAAATACTTTAAGTGGATTGAGTCCTGAAACATGTATGCTAGCTATGTTAGGCTCTAGCATACCATATAAATTTATGTTCCACACCATAAATGATTTTTGCCTTATATTTTAAGCATCAACAAATTATGCACCTCGTTTAAAATAAATTAGTTTTTGGTTTATGCTCTAAATATTATAAATGGGTGTTGTTTGCAAATAGGACGCTGATTATGTTTGAAACCATTGTATTCTAGTCTGGAATTAAAATTCTTTAAGAATCAAATACTTTTTTTTTTACCCAAACTATATTTTATGTACCTATTACCTAAAAGGACAAATAAGGTAAATGTTAAAGCTCTTTAGCAGGTGGGACGCACACCAAGCCAGGGTTTCATGTCAATAGTACCTATTTAATAGAATATTTCTACTATTTTATACTTTCATAGTAAGATTCCACACTCATCAAATTTCTAAATGATTTAATACAATATTTCTACTATTTCATACTTTCATAGTAAAGTTTTCCACTCAAAAAAATTTTCTTCGAAGGAAGTGGTCTCGCTATGAACCGTATGAATCGTATGAAATCAAAATGAAGGGGCCACTATTCAGCTAATGAAGATCCCATGGCGTAATCTTATATACAATAAATTTTGATAAGATATAATACGATTAGATTTGTATCGTCATTATACTTTTAAAATAGTAATTTCAATAAAAAACTGTTTGATATATTTACATCAGAAAAGCGACTAAAGAAAAACTAAATTTAAGCCAAGTATCATTTTACGGCTCTTACAATTTGTTTAGGCGTTTCAAACGTTCTAATCGTATAAAAAATTGTTGGGTTCGGTTTCCTTTCTAAGGAGAGGCCTATGACCAGCAGTGGACTGTTAAAGACTGTTGATGATATGAAATAAATATTTTATTATTTGGCTTTTTTCTGAACCACGACTGTTTATTCTCAATTATATTTGGCTACTCTGGTTTTCATCAAGTCATAGAAACGTCAAATAAGTTGTTATTAATTGATTGCAATTAAAGACAACGGAAGTTACTTGATTTAGTACATTTAGACGATTATTACTTCATCTACGTCTCTAGGAAAGTAAAACTGTCATTACTGTCAAAGTCAAACGCTAAAAAAATAAATTTTGATCTATCAATTGTAAGTCTTTGTTTTCTTTACAAATTGCGCATTATTAGCCAGAAAAACCTTTGTATTACTTAGAAGTCTTGATTTACGTCTGTTTAACTCGATTTCAGCATAAAGTTAAAGTAAAAGCTGTTAAGTTTGTTCATGACGTAATAGTGAAGGGTGAAATTATGAGTGATTCAAAGTCTTTTGTAAATTTCTCATGTCAGCGATGCTTACAGCCTCTAAACCTAGACGAGTCTTTAAACAACCTGGACGAACACACTATTGCTGACCTTACGCTTCAGATACGACGTAACAATGAAGTGGACTTGGATATGCAATCGACAAGCTTAGAACATTATGTACCCCCCTTTCGTATGTCTGAGTCAGGCAATGGTATCAACGGGTTTATGGTGATTTCAGATGGGTGGGAAACTGCATCCCTGGGCCACCAACTACATGTTAAAGCTACTTTATTTGATTTATTATCAAACAATTCCGATGTGGATCATCCTCTTTGTGATGAATGTACGGATTCTCTTCTAGAAATTATGGATGGTCAGTTAAAACAGACTGAAGCTGAATGGAAAGACTACAATGACTATTTGAAGAAGTTAGAAGATGACAAAGAAGATTTAAATTTAGAGGGTTTAGAAAAAGAATTGGATGATTGGAAACAAGAACAAAGTAGATTACTACAAGAACTGTCATCATTACAAAAAGAAGAAAGAGCTATGAAAGAGGAGATTGATGTACAAGAACGGGAGAAAGAGAGATTAGAAAAAGAACAAGATGTCTATTGGAGAGAGTATACAAGATATAGGAAAGACTTGATGACCATTGAAGAGCAAATGAAGTTTTATGAATGTCAGTTGGCATATACACAGTCACAGTTAGAGAAGTTAAAAAAAACAAATATATTTAAGGCCACGTTTCACATTTCTGATTCTGGACAGTTTGGTATAATAAATAATTTTAGACTCGGTAGGTTGCCATCAGCGCCGGTGGATTGGTCAGAAATAAATGCAGCTTGGGGACAAACTGTGCTCCTATTGTCATCATTAGCGCGAAAGATAAGTTTCAATTTTCAACGGTACCGGTTAGTACCTTATGGTAATCATTCTTATGTAGAAGTATTAGATGATCAAAAAGTTTTACCGTTGTATGGTTCTGGTGGTTTCCGTTTTCTGTGGGACACTAAATTTGATGCTGCAATGGTAGCGTTTTTGGATTGTTTGCAACAATTCAAAGAACAAGTTGAGAAGGGCAATACAGGATTCTGTTTACCATATAGAATTGATAAGGGAAAGATCGAGGATACCGCCTCACCTCCTCATGCCTACTCTATAAAAATCCAATTCAACTCTGAAGAACATTGGACGAAAGCTTTAAAATACATGCTGACGAATTTAAAATGGGCTCTGACATGGATTTCCTCACAGTTTAGCGAGGATAAAGCGGAAGGCCAGTAGTACAAGCTGAAGTACATGTTCTATTTTCTTACTTTTTTTCTAGCAGTTCTCTCTACTCTTTTCTAGCACTTTATTAATCCAGAGGCAGATTGAAGAGTCATTGAGTTATTCTACTGTGATTCACCCTTCTGGTACAACTGCTGAATTAATGGTCAGTCAACTGTTAATTTACTAATTGACTACACGGATGGCGAAGTGGTTACCTCACCGCTTTCTACAACACTCAGCTCAGTTGAGTGTTGTGGATTCGATCTCCACCTGAGATAATACTTCACGTTTTCGAAAAATTGTTGTTCTGAGTCTGGGTGTTCTTTGTGTCCGTTTCATGTATGTTTGTGAAGTTCCCCCAAGATACATGATATTTTGAGAGTGGGACTAGTGTGGGAGTTGTCTTTTAAACAAAAAACAATATAGAAATGATCAGTTTATTTTTGTATGTTTCTATAATTAATTACACGTGCAGGAATTAACTCAAATATGTAATAAGTATTACTTGTCCTAATGTGTATTAATTATTTAAAAATAAACTTTGAATTGTCTAAACTTCAGACTTTGTTCCACTAGCAATGGTCACAGTTTAAAGTACCAGTACCTACAATGTGATCATGTTAATTCTCATATGTATATTCAATAATATATAATGAAATTTTGAAATATTAGAAACTAGTATGTATTAAAATGTGATCTTAATTTTTATGAAATTTGTAACTTCGGAGACATGTTTTAAAAGAAAATTTTAGGAAACAGAAATTACTTGTATGGGGTAGGTCACCCTAGCTTAAGCTACTAGTTGTCTTAAAACCAAAAGATGAAACGAAACGACAAACCATTCGCAAGCCAAAAGCTTTAGAACTGACAGACAGTATATTTTTTAAGAGCTCTTATTTACAGCATAAATCAATGTAAATAGGTATCGTTGTTATAAAAAGAACATAGTAAGGTTTCGTCGGAAAATCTATCTTATGTACGTAAAGGTGGCTGAAATCAGTTGTGTTTAGCCTGAAGATTGCTTGTCTTAATTAGTCTAAAGATAATCTTTTTTTTAGCCTGATGATGGCTTGTTTATTTTTTTATTTGAACATGGCCGGTCGAAGAGAGAGAACAGCAGATGCAATTTCATTTGCTGTTCTCTCTAGGTAAGGTCTGGCAAATAGAATAATTATTATTTTAAACTCCATTATTATTTGAGAGTCACAAGTTGTTATTTCATACAAACTTTTATAGTTTAATAACCTGGTTTTATTTGAACTATTGTATTATAATTTTTATTTACATTGTTGAGCATTAGTACAATTTACTCTGTTATCCTGCCATTAAGTAATGGTTGAACATACCTGCGTGTTGAGGCTGTGAAGCAGACTTGGGTATTACAGATTGGCACCCCATCTGGTTTTATTCTTTTCTTTTGTTCCTCTAAGTTTAGCTTTAGTGCTGTCATCATTAATTAGTAAATATTGATTGTTAGTGATAAAATGGACTGAGATTTTTATTTAGATTAGTAATACAAATATATTTTTATGTATAAAGAAATTAATACATTGTTGCATGTTCAGAATAAAAGTGAATTCACTCAGGATGCAGCTTGTGAGACACATTCTTCTATTTGAAGACTCTTCCTCATTACAAGAAGAAAAATGCATGCCATCAATGAAAGTTCCAATGTATAGACTGTCCATTTCTTATTCATAGTTTGGATTCTTTTTTTTTTAGGGTTTTAAAGTAGACTCATTAAGGTTATATTTATATATATAGCAAATTCAAAAGTTACAACTATTTCGAATTAAGTCCAATTCATTCTTAAGGTTGCAATACACAGTCAAGATACTTTGGGAAATTGTAATAAATCTCGAAGAAGAAGAGAAATTTCTATTTTGAACCATTAGCAATAGCAGCTAACAGGTGGAACTTCAAAGGCAAGGCAAAGTTCTATTCAATACATATTATAACTAGAATAACATCTTCATCATCATAAGTACCTGGAATTGATAGAAGTGAGAATCAAGTCAATACAATCAAAAACTGATAATTAAGAAAATATTTTAAAATAGATGTAAGTTGGAATCTGTTTAACGGACAAAATTCAATATAGTGAAAATAATTTTCAAGAGATTTAGGAAGTTTGATCTAATTTTTGTAAATATATTCATAAAACTGTTATTGGGACATAACTGTACTATTTCAACGACCAGTTTTTTTTTTTGCATTTCTATAAACGTTCACTAGAACATTTTTAGAATGCACAGAATACGGACTTCAAGAAAAGGAGCAGGTTCTCAATTCTGTTGTTTTTTTATTTTTGTTATATGAGAACTCCGTTATTTATGAACCGCATTCGTTTTTTTTTATTTGGGAACATGCACTTCCCGTTTGGAAATTTATATGGGAAAATTTGAAAAAATTAGACTACCCACATGTTGGGAAAATTAATAAATGAATAATACAGTTTATGAAGTCATTATGAATAAAAAACAAAACAAACTGTATTTTTCATGACCAAAATTCAAAATCACTAAGTCGATACTCTTTTTAAGTTAAATATATGTTTAACAGGGTTTTATTGTAGACAGTCCTAATGCCGACTCTCAATAGACTTATGTACTTTGAATAGGTACTATGATTTACAATACTATGAAACTGGTACTTCTTCATAGAAAATATGTACCTGTTATGTTTCGTAAACACAACGGAGCTCTACATTGTGTATCTAACTCTTGTGTATCTAATGCATATATTTGTTAGCAAAATGTGTAAATATTATTAAAAAGTAATATAATATGATTAATAAAATATGATTTTTATTTTCCCCGATAGTTGTTTAAGCGTTTGAGTTAGGAAAATTGGGATAGGGAAGCTCGTTTAGTTCCGGGTCGCATAGTTACTACCTGGAAGTCCGAGCTCTCACCAAAAAAACAATGTTAAAAAAAAGCTGGTATAAATGTGCTGAAAAGTTTGTAAAATTAAATATAAATGTTTTATTCAAATAACTTAGACTTAATAACACGTAAATTGGAAAGTCCGAATGAGGGACAACAATGACCTTCGTCAGAGTTATATGCGCTTTTACTACTACTATTTAATAATAAATGTTTTCTAAGAATGAAAACAATATAGTTTTTATGATGATATTACATTTGCTACGAGTTTTCACTTTTCCAAAAGTTGTTTTAACATGTCATCGCCATAAGTAACTTGTGTGTAACAACACGCTCCCGTACACCAAATGTTACTTGTTTCATCATCATCATCATCAGCCACATCATATCGCAGTCCACTGCTAGACATAGGCCTCTCCCATTGCACGCCACTTAGATCGATTTTGGGCTTCTTACTTGTATATAGGATATTAATTATAATATTATATATACAAATAGAACATTAGTACTTTGTCACTAATTATAGGCCGTTCAACAAAAATCAGAATGGATTATAGCTCATAAAGTGTCATTATTCAATATCAAAAAACTTTGTTTAAAAAAAAGTTGCATTTAACGCCATCTGTTGAGTTTTATGAGTACTATTTAAAATAGATAAATGGGCAGAAGATAATGATGGATGAAAGGTTCAACTTGGTGAAAGTAGATGGAAAGGGCGGTACAACGACGTAGCAATCTTTGTCTTTTAACCTTTTAGTAATTATAACCAGATGGCGCGTGTTTGTTTATTCACATTAGACTTCATGATATTTTCCGCTATATTTGATTAAAACTTGATCAATAAGTCGTCGAGGCTGATAAAGTCTCGATAAATTTTATCAGCTTTAAGAGGACCTGCTTGTTGGAACTATGTATGTGAATTGTATTATAATTTTTAAAAAATTTCAAGTTGTACACAAGAAGAAATGCACATAGCACGTTAATAAACACAAAGATGAAAAAGAGGATAATAAAAGAAGAGATATAAAATCTATTTAAGATACCTAATTTAAAAAATATTTTAATAGAGTCAAGTCTACTGAATGAACTGCTGTTTTAACATACGGTAAACACTGCAATAATAGTTTAATTGTATGCATGCATGCATATTTCCGACGTTGCACAAATATGCATTATCCTAAAAGAATCAGTTTATCACCGGAGCCTAAGAACAAATGTGTCTAAATATTTTTTGAATATTTTGTCTAAGCAACATTTTGCCGCTTCCTTTGCACGTTTCTAATTATTTTATGATATAAATTTTCTCAATTTATTATATTATATTGCAGAATGAAAGCCTCGTACAAAGAGTCCCAAACGTCCGATCTTGGGCAGCCCGCATCCAAGACAAGTTACTAAAAATATTGCTTGGTAAAATTAATCTCAGGTGGTCAACATAGAAACATTTGTGCAGGGGACACAATCAAACACTATTCTATAGTGTGCCTATTTCGTTACTTCCATGTTAACTGGTTAGATCATTACCATTGTTTTATTCACACTTAGTGAAGGAAGATATAATTAGGTAAAGGTTTCCTCGCATTTTAATGACCATTATTTACTTCTTTTATCTGATAATTAATATTATTTAACGCGATCTCTTATTTAGGGTATTACATACCTCTGGTTTGCCTGACGTTTCGACCAGGTTGCACCGGCCGTGGTCACAGGCTGACTGGCTCATCGGCGCACGCCCTCCGTCGTCGAATCCGTGAAGTAGAAGGCTCTTCATCTACCCGCACATTTTCGATATTATTTTTGTGTCGCCATGTACCGTCACATGCCACACTAACAGTGTCCCTATTCTGTAAGCAAACCGATGAGTCCCTATTCTGGTGTTTAACCGATTGCGCAGAAAAGCGAGGTGGTATGTTTTTTAACACTGGACTGGACTTCTTTTATCTGTCTTAAATATTTTTTTTAAAGACAACTCCCGCATTAGAAAAATAACGTGTGTCGCGGTGGACTTTACATACATACATGAACACAAAGAACACCCGAACTCAGAAAAACAATTTGTGGATCACACAAGTAAGTGGCGTGGTGACTCTTGGATTTATAGTGTTTTATCTATGGTGACCACTTCAA